CTCCCGAGCGCGGGCCCGCGCGGGCGAGCGGGGCGAAAACTCCGGGGTCTCTCGGGGGAAGTGTCGCATTAGACATGCGGGATCCGAGCCCGCGCGGCAGTGGCCTGGAGAGTGGCCGGAGCGCGCTTACGAATCTCAGCGTTAAAGATGTCAGTGGCTTAGGAAGTAACTTTTTTGTTGTTGTTACACAAAAATCCAATCTCTGCTACTTTAGGTATATATCACTTTGTATCTTTTCCCTTTCTTTTGTAAAATGAAAAAATATGACAATATTCAATCATGTGCAATTCATGATTAAATAAACAAACATATAAAACATCTATATGTAAAAACAAGCATTTTCTGTCCTCAGCAATTGGCTGGACATCAGCAACGCACCTTGGAACTTCGCCGCGAGCGGGACCTAGTCCAGGGTGAGCTTTGTCTAAACAGCCTTGGACGCCAAAAACCAGAGGTGTCATTGGTTTAAATTTCAGCTTCACCCTGACCAGTGGAAATGCAAATTGGGGATGCCCGCGTTCTGATTGGGCAGAGCTAATTTTTTGACGTTACTCTGAAAATTCACCAATCAGAAACAGGACTGTATTTCATCGCCTTATTTGCATGCGAGGCTCTATATAAAAAGGACAGATCGTGTTCTGCTCATTGTTCCTTTTTTTTTCTTTCCCTCCCTTTTTTTCTGTCCTCCCGACCATGCCCGAGCCCGCCAAGTCGGCGCCCGCCCCGAAGAAGGGCTCCAAGAAGGCGGTGACCAAGGCGCAGAAGAAGGACGGCAAGAAGCGCAAGCGCAGCCGCAAGGAGAGCTACTCGGTGTACGTGTACAAGGTGCTGAAGCAGGTGCACCCCGACACCGGCATCTCGTCCAAGGCCATGGGCATCATGAACTCGTTCGTGAACGACATCTTCGAGCGCATCGCGGGCGAGGCGTCGCGCCTGGCGCATTACAACAAGCGCTCGACCATCACGTCGCGGGAGATCCAGACGGCCGTGCGCCTGCTGCTGCCCGGGGAGCTGGCCAAGCACGCCGTGTCCGAGGGCACCAAGGCCGTCACCAAGTACACCAGCTCCAAGTAGACGCGCTCCTGAGCCGCTTTGCTCCTGACCCAAAGGCTCTTTTCAGAGCCACCCCACACTTCACGGAAATAGCTGGTGCGTTTTGTCTGTGGTCTAGTTTCTTCTAGAAGCGTTGGGACTAATTTGGGAAAGGAAAATAACTCTCATTAAGGATAAAATGTTAAAAAGTCCACCACAGGCACTGTTGAGTATGCATTAGGCGCTGTTATGCCAATTTAGTGGTTTGTTTTGGCTTTTTTTACACCCTTTGGAAGAACTCTTTTGTCCTTCCACGGTAGCCATACTCGCGTTTGGTTACACTGCTGATGACGCCTGGTGTCTGATGGGGGCGGCAGTATTTGAAAAACCTACGCTGAGCTGCAATTTGCCGGATAGTTTATGGGGTGTGCTTTTCGAAAAGATTCCTTGGAAGGTGAAATTCTGACCCCTGTTTTTCCCGGAGAAAACCAGCGGGCTCCGCAGTCAGTCATAAGCGGAAATTGAACCGTTCTTTGCTGTGCAGTCGGATCCAGTTCGCGTCCTTGTCCCACACAGCTCGGAACAGGGACTGTAGCAGCTCTGCCTGCCCCGCGGTGACATTAGGGTGAGTGGAAATGATTTCCATCAAAGCACAATGGGAACATTAAAGGTCAGGGCGGCTCCTTAAAGATAAAATGTGGAACGAGGAACCCAGCAGCCTGGGAAAGCCGCGTTCATCAGGATCAGTGGTAGGGTGGGCGCAGGGGCATTTCTCAAGCTGGGGTTTGAGAGTCCACGGAGAGAAATCCTGTGACATTCGATAACATGGCTGGACCTAGAGGTTATCATGCTGAGTGAAGTCAGTTAGACAGAGAAAGACAAATACCATATGGTTTCACTTATGCGTGGGATCTAATAAACTAAACAAAACGGAAACAGACTCTGATACAGAGAACAAGCCGATGGTGCCAGATGAAATGAGGGTTGGAGGGCTGGGTCAGAAAGGTGAAGGGTTTGGGATATACAAACTGGGAGTCGCCAAATAGTCACAGGGATGTGAAGTACAGCATAGGAAGTATAATCATTAACATTGTATTAACTATGGTGTCAGGTGAGTAGTAGACTTATGGAGTGAGCACTTCCTCAATTTATAAATAACCATGATGATATACACCTAACACTAACACAAATAATATTTAATGTCTACTGTAATTGAAAATAAAAATAATTTTTAGAAATCCTGAGACATAGGTCAGACAGAACCCCATGTTTAAAGAAAACAGGCCCCAGAAAAACCCCAGAGGTAGGAAGTGGGCTGAAGGCGGGGCTGGCCAGGAATGCTGGGATTGGAGACCCAAGGCAGGAGGGAAAGTCTGCTCCCCTCCCCAGCATCTTTCAATGGCGCCTAAATTCTCCTTTTATTTCAAAGCTTTAACACCCTCTGCTCCCCCCGCTTCATCCCCTCAGTACAGACGCAGGTGTGAACAAAACCGACTCCATATCTATGTCCGAAATTTCATTTCATTTTTAAGTTTCCCACGTGATCTTTGACCAGCTTCACCATCCTTAGCAAGCATATCAAAGCTTTCTAGTTGATGATTATCTGCGTCCCTTAAAATGTAACCATAAATATTTTTGTTAGCAACAGCCAGAATGCTAGCAACAACCAAGATAAATATCAAAATAGCGAGAGTATTGATTATAAACAATCATCCACCACAAGACTACCAGGAGGTAAGGCCCTTGGCACTACTGCCATCTTCATCCCTTCGCTTGTCAATCATTAGTACTCAAGTTATACTATTTAAAAGTAATATCATGGGGCGCAGGCAGTGGAGAATAATTAACACAAAACTGATGGGTTGTCTGTTCTGCTCTGACCCAACCTTCGCATAAGTAAATTACCATGTAATGAATGCTGTTATATTCTGTGGAGTTGCCTGCTTCATCTTTTGGTCTAAAGATGCCTTCTCATTGCAAGGTGCTAACCTGGTCCCAGTCCTGGGTCCCTCTTTCCAACCTCATCGGGTGTACACTCGGCTCTGCCGTGGGGAGATCGCCCCACACTAGGAGTTTCTAGACCTCTCGGGGGACAGTGAGGCTTGGGAGCCTCTGCTGTCAGCATCCAAAGCTATAAAGTGAAGACTAATACTTTGAGGAATCATTAGTCTTGCATTCGATCTGCCACCACCCTGGCGGCCACTGCCATTGCACTGTGTAATTCACTGCATCGTCTCATCTTCTCGCTCTCTGCTGCTCAGCTAAAAGAGATCACTGAAGTCCCTCCCAGCAGAAATAATCTGTGTCAGAACACCTCTTTCACACAGGTCACTCGAAGCTATTGCTAACAGTGTAACATGTGACAAGCTTTATTTCAACCTTGGAAAAACCAGTACGGTCATCCCTCTTATCCGCGGAGAATGCGTTCCAAGACCCCGGTGGATGCCTGAAACCATGAGTAGTGCCGAAGCCTGTACGTACCATGTTTTTTCCTTTACATACGGGCCTATGATAAAGCTCAATGTATAAATTAGGCACAGTGAGGAATTAACAAGAACTAATAATGAAATAGAACAATTGTAACAATATACCGTAGTAAAGTTATGTGAATGCAGCCCTTCATCTCAGGGGGTCCCCTGCTCAAGCCTTCTTACAGGCTCCATGGTTTCTGGCGCAACACGTGGTGGATCGGAACACATGTTCATGTCTTCTGCCCAGAAATTAATGCCCTTTCCACCTTAATTAAGCACCTATCACATACTGTGGCCATAACTTTTGCAGTTTGAGGTGCGACAGCAAAGCTAGCACAGATTCCTTTCTTTCTTCTTCACAATTTCACGTGTAGAGATTCGTTCTTATTGTCGATCTTAGCAACCTCAGCATACAGTTTTTTTTCCTTATTAAGATCTTTCACTTTTTTACTCAAAGGAAGCCTTTTAAAGCTTCTCTTTGGCATATCCAAGCTGTCGGCATCACTGCTCTTGTGCTTTGGGGCCATTATGAAGTAAAATAAGGGTGATGAGAACACAAGCACTGTGACACCACTAAACCAAATGGCTGCGAGGGCCTAATAGGTCAAGAGCGTGACAGCAAGACACACTGGGGAGAGGCCACCCACAGCCCCAGCAGGACGGAGCGGGATGGCAGGAGATTTCATCACAGTGCTCAGAGCAGCTCGTAATTTAAAACTTATGAATTACTTACTTCTGGTATTTTCCATTTCACATTTTCAGGCCTGGGTTGACTACAGGTAACTGAAACCGCAGGAAGGGAAACTGCGGGTGGCGGGGGCGGTTTCTGTACCGCGCAGAGGGGGTGCTTGGAGGCCCCACAGTCTCTAGTTCTTTGCAGAATGACTATCTCAATAGAACTGTTCTCTTTTCATTTTCTGCTCGTTAACAAACTCTTCGTCTAGAGAGCAGAACGAGTGCCTTGCAAGTTAGGAGGTAAATCCACCACTTTGAGGAGATGCTCCATCCATGGCGGCAATATCCAAGAGCAAACCAAAAATTCCGTTTCTGAAATAGGAACCAGGAGAAAATAGCAGGACGCGTTTTATCTTTTTTGGCAATTTTTTTTTTTTAAAGATTAATCACATGTGCCTCTAGTTATCTGTAAGATTAGAAAGCTTGTTACTGAGAAGAGTATTTTAAAATTCATCTCAGAAGGGAATTGTATTTGCCGGGGGCATATGTGTTGGCAAGAATGAAAGAGGAACAGGACCTCAGCTGGCATCTCAACTGAATACTGTGGTTCTTTATTGTGACGGGAATTTTATGTGGAAATAAAATTAAAATGTCAATAAAAGAACCTTAATGACAAACCTCTATACCCCCTTCTGCTGGATGGATACAGATGTTGCTTGCATTTTGGAACTAGCGGAAAATCAGGCTCCCAGTCCCCACATCGTGTAAACGTCAGCTGTGCTTCTTTGTTTGGTCACAGATCAACACAGAGCAATAGATTTAATGGCAACAGTATTGTGAGGGAAAGGCTTTTGTGTGGATACGCATAAAGTAAATGTTATTTTTTTTTAATAAGCATCGTTATTTTTTATTTTTAAATGTTTTGCTTTTATTGCTACTTCTTAATTTTTTTTTACACAATTTGTCTCTCTTACACAACTTCCCACCCTGAATATTCACATTCCTGCAGCTTCCTCCCAATCCTCCTAATATAGCTAATTGGCGATCCTCAGTTAAATCAATATTTAGTGAGTGGATTATTCTGGGCTATGTAAATAATGTTCGCATCAAGTTGCGTATTGTATTATGATTACATTTCTTGTACAACTTTTTATTTTCTCTGGGATTAATAAATGCTTCTCTCCTGATGGCCTAGTTTTCCGTTTTCTGGTCCTCTGTATTTTCTACATGCCGTTTAACTCAGCTCTAAGACTTTTCTCCAAATGGAAGCCTGTCAGACCTTTATCCGTTCCATTTCCCTTCACGTAGTTCTCTCCATCCTTGCCGAGTGCCCGCCCAGTGTATCCCGGAGTTTGCTGGACACGTCTTCCTGCTGCTCTCCCTCCTGGCGATTCCTGCCTCTCTCTCCTCGTAGGAAACACCGTTTCCTGAGTTTCACACCTTCCCTTCTCTTGCTGTTCTTCCTTTCACAGCTTCTTGGGAAACAGTGTGTTGTAGGTAAGGTTTTTAAGAAATACGCGTCTGAAAACGTCCTTATGCTGTCCTCTAAGCATTATGATTTAAATGAGAGCCAATTATAAGCTGTTCCTAGACTCTTTGCAAGGAGAAATTATTCATTAAAAATAAAAAAAGGAATAGGAGAGAGGCACATCAAATTCATGATAGTTTCCCCTGAGAAAGGAAATATTAGGATTGGGGATGCTTCAATTTTATGTGGGGTTTTTTTCCTTCAAATATAAAAAGGATTTGTAGTTACTATGCCATCTTATTAAATAGTAGTAGATCGATTCTGTGTAGTCACTTTTGCACTCTTCTGAAATTTTTAAAAGGCAAAAGGAAAAGGTGAAGACTCATGTCGAATACTGGTGTTTGGTATATTAGAAATTGTAGCGTTTAACATACAGTGTTTACCAAACCACCAGTGACTAAGATGCTCCAGCCTGCGTTCCGGATACTACAGCAACTAAACCACAGGGGGAAGAGACAAAAACCTCTGTTCTTGTGAATTTACAGACTATAGGGGATAAAACACTAAATGAATAAATAAAATATACTATATACTATACAGTGATAAGTGCTAAGGAGGAAAACAGCAAAGGTTTGAGATCGTTGGGAGAATACCCCCTTTTAGCTGGTTCTCAGACTAAAAATAGCTGCGTATGGTCCTTTCGAACTCCAAATTGACATTCGTGTTTACAATTTGGTGGTAGGTAAAGATGGAGACCTTTCAACTTTTGGCTAATGGCTTAATATTATCAATTCTGCTCCCTGAGATGGTGCATGTGGCATGTCTTTGTTAGAACCTTTCTAATTTGTGTGATGTATGTGTCATAAAGTTCTCCTGGGCTGAAAACACTTCCCTCGCGGTTGCTCAAGATTTCTCCAGCTACAGAACTGCGGGGGTCTCAAGACTGTTTAAGCTCTAAAAGCTTCCAGCACTTTTTTAGGAAAAGTACTAGCAGAGGATGGTTTCGATCCATCGACCTCTGGGTTATGGGCCCAGCACGCTTCCGCTGCGCCACTCTGCTTGTCGCGGTTGTGTCCGCCGCCTAAAATTGTTTGTTTTCGTATTTATCTTTGCAAGCTACTTTTGTGTGTCTTTAAAAAACAATTTTTTTTCTCAAAGTTCACTCGTCGGTTCTATTCATGATTCAAACAAGAGAGCGAGTCCAGAATTCACTGAATCCAAATATTCCGAATGCACAAAATTCGATGTTTCTGTTAGAAAAGAGCCCATCGTCAGCCTGCTGTCCAGTCATATAGTCAGAATGTGTGAGAAAACCAGTGGTTCGAGGTCGAAAATACCCGACCTCTAAACGAGCATTTTCAACACAATCGGAAGGATGGGAGGCGGGGATGGGGCGTGGAAAGAGAGGAAAAAAGAAAAAGGAAAAGGGAGTTGCATTGGCCGGGAATCGAACCCGGGCCTCCCGCGTGGCAGGCGAGAATTCTACCACTGAACCACCAATGCCTCGCTTCCCCGATGGCTCTGCGGGTGGTAGGAATGGGCTTTCCCCGTTATTTTTATCTAACCACCAATTCATTTTCTTTCCAAAAAGACGTCTGGGTGGGTTTTCGTTCTACTGAGTAGAACCTCGGGTGCTTCTTCCTTTCTCTTCAGGAACACCCCTTTCACCGCCGGGGCCGCGCACCTTGCAGAGCCCGGGAGCCTCGGACGCCTAGAGCCGGGTGCTTGGGAGGCGGGGACGGAGGGAACCGAGCGCCCCAAGAGGAAGGAGAGGGACCGGGACAGGGCCGGAGACTGTTCCTGCTCACCCCAGAGACAGCGGAGGCGGCATTATGAACTGTGGGTTTGCCTTCTGCTTTCGGTTGCCATGGTCGAGCGCAAAGGTCTCAGTAAAGGGTAAATTTCCAAAAATAATTTTAAAAAAAAGGGATAAATTTAAATTGAACCCCTTTTAGAAGATTTTATTTAACTCATTGATGAGGTCATTGGTGATTTATCACCAATTCAAAGGAGAATTAATGGACGCCACTTACAGATCAGGAAGACGGAATTAAATGTGTAAGAGTAAAAACTGGCTTTTCCTCCAGGAGGAGGGTAGTGATGGGGGGGAGGGAGGAAAGTGTCCCGCCTCGCGACAGACTTAATTTGCATGTCACAGACAGGAATGTTTTTCGTTCGCTATCAATTATGTGCTATTTATAGTTGCACGATAGCCCCGCAGATTGGGAATCAGGTGACAGAGAAGTTTCCCCAACAGGTCTCCTCTTTTTCAGGGAGATTCTGCCCCGTCTGACGCAAACCTACGGGCCGAACTCGGCAGCGGAGCACGTGCTCGCCAGCCCGCCGCGGCGCCAACCCAGGGCGCCGGGCCGCCCCGAACCCCAGCGCGGGCTTCGGAACCGGCGGCTCGCAGGCCCCCGAAGGACGCGGCGGAAGGTCGGGACACGCTCCTGCGAACCTGGGCTTCAGCTTTGGGGCCTAGGAGGAGTCACGGGTCCCATAGCTCTGGGGTCCGTGTCGGGGGCGGCAGAACCAGCTCGAACCCACACCGCGGGTCAGGCGGCCGAGGCAGCGGAGAAGGTCGACCTCCAGCAGTATCCGGAACCAAAGTCTGGACCCCACACACCTGTTTCCCTAACCCCTCCGAACCCACCCTGACCCCGGAGTGGGGAGTCTGGGCTTCTGAGCCAGAACTTTCCTGTTCTCCCTACCGTGCCCGTGCGCACAAAGCAACTCTTCAGTCTCCACTGCAGTCCTCGGCGTTTGGCGTCCGGCTCGGCTTGAGCTGGGTGGACGAACTCCGTTCAGTGACATAATTTCCTCATCTGATCCTCATGACACACTTGAAACACGTATTTCTCCCATTTTTTCCAGACGACCGGGGGAAAAAAAAGATTCACTAACGTGAAATAACTAGACTCGGGTCATTGGGTCCCAAGGGGTGACACTGGGTGCTTGTCTTTTGAATAACTTCGTTTCTCTTCTTAGATTCTGATTCCCTCGACTCCGATGTTTGGGGGTTGGTCTAGAATCTAGACTAGAGATTGTCATATTTTTCCATGGTTGCCCAAAGAAATCTGCTTATCAGAGCCTTCAGATCTTCCAGTGTCAACTTTGAAAGAAGAAATTCATAAGCATAGGGCACCCGGTCAGTCTTGAGAAGCCAAAAAAAAAATTGAAACAGGCAGTTCTAAACTGAACTTGCAGGAGGACAGTGAAAGTAGGCTCGGGGGCCACTGAGAGGGAGGTGATGCCCTTTGCAGGGACGGGCCGGGCTGGCCTGCCAGCTCTGTTTGTCAAGGCGCCTGTCAAATTATTTCCTTCCATCTCCTCCACCGTGATCTTAGCTCCACTAGAGGCTCCGAGGGAAGCTCAAAGCATTTTATTCTTTTCTCCTGCGAAGCCTCATTTCTCATCCTAGAGAGTCAGAGATGGAGGAGGATCTGATCCAGTAATCCAGGGCCCTCTTCAGCAGAAGGACAAGGAGAAAAACCGTGGACGATCTCATGATCCTTGCTTCTGCCACGAGATTTTGTTTACTTGGATTCAGCAAGGCTTATTAGAAAGGTTGGGAGCAGGGAGCCGTGGAAGAGAGCAGGTGAAGAACTCCGTGGGACAGGCGTGCTAGAGAAACCGAAGCCCCGAGATGTGCTCGTGGTTCCCTGGTTTATGGAACACCACTGAGCCTCTGAAGACAGGTGTGACAAGGACGGATGACTCGGCTCCTGCCTTCGCTGAGCAGACCTTTCAGCTCTGTATTCTCAGCACCAGATTTGCAAAATGACCTGGCGAACGCATAGGACAAATTTGTTAAATGAGCATTTCATGAATGTCTCTGGATAGAAAATAGATTCAAAATTTTTATATCGCATTGTTCTCATCAGAAAGGTATCTTATGCAGTTCGGAGTTTTTCTCTGTGATTTCTACCTACATAGTTAAACTCCGTTCTGCTACATTTGTGTGTTCTCAGATTCAGTACAATGGGTCTTCACCTGAGCCGCAGGCCTGGAAGGACAGAAACATCTTTCTTTTCTCATTTTACAGTGACTATCAGGTTCTAGGTTCTAGGTTTTAGAAATATAATTAGTTGTTGTTCTATCCTAAAATTCTTCATGCTTATATATTTAAAACATGTATATAAAGAGTTTTCAAAAAATAAAATTTCTATGATGTTAATGGCATAGTATATCAGATAATTCAAAGAAATTTTCTTAAAATAGAAGTGCGTATCACTATCGGCCATTACCCAGAGCACTGCTGTGAGGAAGATGCCAGTTACAGGTGAAGAAATTAAGTATCAGAGAGGCTGAATAATTTCCACGTGTCACGCAGCTGGGACTGGGATGCAGGTCTCTCTGATGATCCATCTCAGGTGATCTTTTTTAAGGTGTGTTGTCTGTAGAAATTATTGAAGATATAAAAATGTACAATGAAGAAAGTACAAGTCCAATGCGATCCTGTCACACAGAGATACCAACTGATGTTTGATGGTTCCAGCCTTCTTCTTATTGCAGATGTAAAGGTAGGTCTCTATGTGAATACACGTTTATATAACTCTCGCTTACTTATATGTACTTGGAAAATGTTTCACAAAGCAGGCACAGAGAAAAAAGCCCGGTAGAAGTTGAGACTTTCTGGGTTAGAAGGGACCTGACAAGTCATGTAGTCCAACTTTCCTCCAGTATTTGAAAATCGTATCTCCACAGAGAGATTTTCCCGTTCGAGCGATTCCATTTTCCCAATATTGACTTGTGGATGTCGAAGGAGCAGCTTCCACCTGGCTCTTCTCTAGAAGCCACGAGAATCAACTCGACTTCTACACGGCTTTTCCCCAAAGGCTTGGCTCTTATCATTTTCTCCGTGTCTGCTTTTCTACCACTGTCCATTGACAGAAATGGCTATGACAGATGTGATTTAACTACAGGAAATTACTAAAACAGAATTTAAAGAGGAAAGGCATTAGGCAGATTATTTAATTCAATCTCTATTTTGTATAGATTTCTACTTTCCCACACTGCCAGAAATGCTCTGCTCTTTCCTCATGGTATGAAGCCAATTTTTTGGTGAGTCCTTTCTTACATCGTGCTAAAATTCTACTTTATTTTTACTCATAAGTAGGAATTCCAACCTTTATGGAACAAACTTCACTCTTCACGGCTGCCCTTTAGATATCGTGTCATGCTTTGACAAAGCATTTTACATCCCCTGTCAAATCTATGCCATCGGTAATTCAAGAAGCGTGGTGTTCTGACTCCTGAATCCTCTAGTCATTATTCTGCAGAAGCATTTTAGTTCTACAATCTATCTTCTAAAATGTGAACCCGACTGAAACGAATAATCTACATGTTTTATTGTCAGTATGTTCCCAATTGAGGTTTTACGGGACTTACTGTTAGTCATATTTCTATCGCCCTGTAGTATACAATATGAAATAAATAACTTTGTGTTAACTTATGTTAAATTTCACCCATTTACTAATTGCTTTTATTTTTAAGTTTTATTTCTGACTTCTATAGAATCATCGATTTCTCTCAGTTTGGTCTCGTTTTTAATCTCTTACGCCTGTCATCCTTAAGTTCACGCAAGTTATTGACAAGTGCATATTCTAGTAGGTTAAAACATATATACGTCCTGGAACAATAGTACCTTCTTTCCAGAGTGGTTGTGTTTCATTAGCCACCTTTTGAGTGAGGTTTTACGGGCAGACAAGAACAGGTAGAAATGCTTTACCATCTTAGTCACTATTGCTTGGTATTCTTCAAAACTATACTGAGAAGTGTTTGTAAATTCTACTCGGAAAATTTAAATAGTATTCAGATAATACATATCATGTATGTATGTATTTAAATAACATATAAAATATATTCATGCACTTTTATATGTACTATATACTTTAATAATAATTACAAAGTAACTGATAGTAAAATATGTGTAGACTTTTGTTATAAATCACTTTAAAACTTACCATTACATAGTGTATTTAATCAATTAGTGGCTAATTTTTTAAAATGTAAAATTCCTAAATTCCCATTACTCTGATTTCATTGCTATTTTCTCAATTCTTTAAAGATTACTGACATTGACTTTGTGATCATCTCAAAACTTATGTCTGGAATTAAACTAACAGAAAACAGATGAATGGAAGAAAAGGCATACAATTTCTATTAATATTTTAGTGCACAGGATTCGCATAAAAGAAGTGAAACTCAAAAAAGTAACCAGACCTGTGGGCGTATATGTTGGTGTAATAAAGGAAAAGGAGTTTGGGCTTCAGAGAGTGAACAAGTGGGGGGAAGTGACTCAGGTGGAAGACAGGGGCTATTTCACTAAGATTTGTTCACACAGATCCCTCTCAGTGCTGAGCAGTCTTCAGGGGGAAAAGTTGGAAGAGGGGACAACTGCACAGGGGAGATTCATGTCCTGCTCTTAGGGAGGCGGAGGAGGAAGAGGGAAGAAAAGTTTTGGGAAATAAGGTTCAAAAAAGTGATGGACATTTGAAATTAAATTTTATGAATACATGAGACAAAGGTTTTATAAATAATCTGTTGTTCACTTCCACAAAAGCTACAATGATTAAAAAAATAGATTATATTGCAATGAAAGATCATTTATTTAAATATAATTGCAGTTGATGATGAAGGTGACTGGCATAAACTTACAGGCTTCATTTTTTTTTTCTGACAACATTCTAAGATGTCATATTATAACATATTAAGTCATGTGCTGGGAAGCAGCTCTTACAGTCACTATAACCCTTGAATTGTATTATTTTCACAGAAAATAGTTTTCCACAACTATAATGTTTTCATCATTTACAAGTTTAAGTGTATTTGTGATGGATTAGGGGTGGTTTAGGGTGTGAGTAAGAGTCAGATGGCAAAAAAATTAAAGATTGCTTCTAAAGTCTTCTTCGGCTAAGCATCCACCCCCTGTACTGAGTGACTACCCCACAAGGACCTCTTTCCTCACAGGGACTCATTATTTCAGAAAGGAAATTCTTGAGAGCATCAAATTCTCCAGGTATTTCTCTCCAGTTTCCATGAGAAAATATTAGGCTGAGATGGTTGTACAAGCTAATGACCTAATTTAAGTTTAAGAAGCAGCTCTCAGGGGAGTGACCCATCTGACTGTGCCAAGTTTGTTGGAATACAGAATTAATGTTGACTAGTTTTTATTGCTCACCCATGTACTTTAATATTTCTGTTGATGAAAAAAAATCGTATGCCATTTTCTTATAAATTAATGGAGGTGATAATATTATCATTATATCTAGCTATCTTCTATCTCTACCAATACAATTAATGGTATTATGATTATAGTATATAACTTCAATAATGTTTATATTTAAAACACAGTATTTGACATGTGCTCTGTTTCTACTTGACAGAAGTATCCAGAAATGGCCACCGAGGTTAGTCATTCACAGAAAATTAATAGTACCGGTTATTAAAATCTAAATAACATTTTTAAATGTACAAAGCACATGTACATGTTTTCTGATGTGTATTCATCAAAATCTCCAGTTGTAGAGGTGAGATGTGAGGTTGATCTCCCTTAGAAGTCTCTGACAGCTAAATAGAGAAAATCTGCTTTTGTGAGGCACCTGCTTCTACCTCGTTCACCCTATGACTAGAGTAAAGTGGTCTGAAGTAGCACGTGCATACTATTATCTTTTGTCTTTTTAAAAAAACCCAAATCTGTTAATTTATTCTAATGACTCGGCTACATAGTAAGTTTCTTGAGATAATTTTAATACTTTAAAAACCAAACGGCAAATAGAAATGAGATTATTTTAACATTTTGGACCTATTTTTTGTTTCGTATTAATTTCAAATGTCAAAGTCAATCGTTTTTTATCTGCCTTCCTTCTCTCAATATATCTGTCTTAAAAGGAGAATATTCAAGCTTTATTATTATGGACCTAAAAATTGCATAGAAAATTGATCTTAAGTAAACAAAATGACGAAGGACTAGGAACAGCACTTCTCTGCACCGAACGCACCAGGCAAATGGTAGAGGACACGAATCACAAGGGCCAGCGGCCTGTGCGGGTCCTCCACACCCTCCCACGCCTCCCACCGAGCCCGGGCTCTTCTGAATTAAGAATGAGGTGACCGTTTTCTGCTCCTAATGCTCAGTACTAACCACCCAGCGAGGAAGATTAGGTTCTCGCTCTCTCTCATCTCGTGTGTGTGTGTGTGTGTGTGTGTGTGTGTGTGTGTGTGTTTTGGGAAAAGTAATATTTCCTCTGAGACCATATGCTCTCCCAACCCTTTTTAGAGATAATTAGTTAAGGGAATTTTTGAGAAAAAAGTTTTACTCCACAGGGTGAGACAGAAAGGGAAGTGACCAACCCTGCATCAGCTCGGAAACCCATAAGAAGTTCTTCCTCTGCAAACTTGAATCCTTTGATCTCTGTTCCCTGCGCTGAGTGTGCATCAGAGACCTCCCGCTCCTCAGGCTGCTCCTTATGGGGGTGGGAGGGGGTGCGGGCGCTCGGGCC